CTCAGAATAACATGTATTGCCCCCCTTTATAACACTGTGATTATTAAGGCAGCTGTATGGTTGTCAGTTCACCTGCTCTGATTTACTGTAGTGTTTTTTTATTTTTATTTTTTGCAGTAATCACTGTTTAAAGTCTTTTCCTGTGATAGTTGGATTGTCATTAGCTGATGGGGAAATACAGTGACAACACAGCAATTTAGACAGACCCGTTTCACATTGCTTGTAGTCTATACTTACTATGCTTCTTTCTATGCAGGATGAACTTGATGAAGTTGTCAACACATGGAATTCACACAAAATCAGGCCAAGATCAAACGGTGACATGGCATCGGGCCGGCCTGTTATGATGTACTCCTTCCCAGAACTGCACAATGCTGATGATAGACTTAAACCTGTTTCCATGGAGGAGGTCAATTTGTGTATGGAAGAATGTACTCCCAAAGGCCAGTTTCCATGCGATGAGACTGTTTTTGAACTGTGTTGTCTACTGATGGAGGAATATGGTTGGGATGCTCCAGCAGATCCACTTGCTGCAGCTGATCTGTACATCATGTTAAGAGAGCAAATACTGCAAAATATTTGATAAATGGTACAAATCCAGTTTTTACTAAATAAAAAAGAAAATATGTAGTTTAGCCCTTTAATAGTTATCTTATAAGTAGACTGTGTTGCTTTTTCAGTGCATATCTATGTCTCAACATGAAGATGACTGCAGTGCAGGCCTGGCAGAATATAATGAGAGAACATAACCAGTATAGAAGCCAACATAGGAAATACATCCCCCGAATATATAGAATTTTTTTTATGAGTTAGTTTAATTACATAAGTACTGAATCATTTTTGCATGGACTATCCAAATTAAATGGGAAGTGAAATCTCTGTAGGTAGTTATTACACATTATGCAGTCTGAAACATTCTAAATACCATGGCAGGGTGAGATATAAAACATACTTTTGTATTATATGCAAAATTCTGACTTGAATAAAAAATGAGAAGTAGTATTTCTACTTGTGGAGTATTTTTCTTAAGCATATGCTTGCATTTTAATTTGAATATCTTGTTTGTGTACTTTTTTAACAACACAGAATTTGACTAGTTAGCTGATAAGTGTCTGAAAGTCTCAGTTGTCCAGGTCATGGTTATACCAAAAAAGGCCAATTGGATGGCCATTGTGTATGATTTTCAGTGGAAGCACTTCATGTGTCATATTTTCCTTAACACTTGAAATCTGTTCTTATCGGTAAATCCCTAACTCTATGTAATGGTGACAAGTTGGCACCTGGTGCTGTTAAAATAATTGACTGCACATTTAAATCAGCCAGTTACTGGTAATCATAGAGCCTTTTTATCAGAATGTCTATGCACGCAGCCCTCCGGTGGCGGGGGGCCCGGGTACCTGGCTGCTGTGGGGCGGCTGGGTGCATGATCGCTCGGGGCTCTCCTGGCCGTCTGGGGGGGCCCAGGGCGCCGTTGTTGTGGCCTCGCACACCCATTGGGAATCATTCCATGTTAACCTGCACACTCATACATACACTCACAGCACACAAACATGCACACACATACACACGTATATATGCACACACACATACACACTTTCACATCCACACACATACACATAGAACGCGCACACGCATAGACACACACATACACACGCACACGCACACACAAGAGAGCCTAAGGCTTTCTTGCCCTATTTTATCTCTCTCTCTCCTTGTCTGGTTGTGTGTGTGTGTGTGTGTGTGTGTGTGTGTGTGTTTCGCTTCCATCCTTTCTTCTCAGATGCAGATACTGGTGTGGCGATATCCAGACTGTGTTCCTGTTGGTCTGCTTATGTATCTTTTTCTTTGGTATTAATGTATTTAATTTCAGAAGCAGATACTGGCACAAGCATATTCCCCATCATAAATGGTACCATTGGTTTCTTTGTATGTATACTTTTTGTGTCTGTACCTGGATCTTATTTTTCAGATAACAGCAGCTGGTGTGATGACACAATGTCCAGCAGTAAGATGCAGAAGCTGTCCTTTTGTTACTCTTTCCTTTTTGCTCTACTTTTTCTTCAGTTGTCATGTATTATTTTTCTTTCCCTGTTTTTCTCTCTCTGTCTGAACCCCTCCCCATTTTTTAATTAATTTTTTGTGTATTTATTTATTTTTCTTCTTCTTCTCTCTCTCCTCTTTCTCTCCCTCCTATCTTCCTCTCTCTATCTCTTCTACCTCAGTTAACTTTCCCTGTCAGCTCCGGCTTTGTGGCGCAATAATCTAAAATGGTTAATAAAGAGTATATCCCAAGTAACAAGAGGAGCTTAATCCAAAGCTCCACTTGGCAAAATAAAAGTGTTGGCACAATAAAGCACCCAGACTAACATCCTGCTTGCTAAACTGCCGGACACGACAGGGGTAAAAAAATAAAATAAAAATGTCTATGCAATGCAGTGTGCATTTCATTTGTGAAGTGGACAGCCTCTTTCATAATTGCTTTTAATGCAAGCTAATAGGTTTCTGACATTTTTGTCCAATAGGAATTACTATATAATACTTTATTATTAAACAACTGTATTTTTAAACTTTGTTTACACCATCAATTTTTACCCTTATGGACATGTTGTTTTATAATAAACATTAGATCAACATTTAACTGAAGGCCTGACAAATGTGGTGGTACAAGTAACATTTTATTAACATCAAAAGTTTCCATAAAAAAATAGGATTTTCTTGGTAATGCCAATAATAACTTGGTTAAATCTTATAAACGTATTGTCTGTTTTGTAACAAGGGTATAATCAGAATGACTGGCTTCGTTTAAAATGCAAATGCAACATTTTTAGTGTTTCAAAGGCTTTATAAGACATCAACTAAAATAATGCTCAGGGGCCAAAAACATTTCCTGCATGTGAAATTCCACAAAATGCTTGCTGTATTATGTGAACCATACAATTTCATTTTGATTGTTAAAAATAAAATGGTAAACTTAAATGGTCATATAGAGCCTCTTGAACATATCTTCTACATCAGCAACCTGATGTCAAATATCAAAAAATAAAAAAGCATAGGCTATCACAACATATCTCTAGAGTCAACCATAAACATGGTGTAGAATTAAAACAAGTGTGAGTGCTTAAGAACACGCAATCAGAAAATTGTTTCTGATGTAAAAATAAAGTTACTATACCTGAGAACATAAGAATTTGGAATAAGGATGACTGGACAATTACAGCCCCTCGATGTTGCTATGATCAATTTGGATGATCAACAAGACGTAATGAAAACTCAAATTTGTCAGACTGCATTATATAGTGCCTGTGATTCTGCTCACAACAATGCCTGTAATGCTGGATTTGGATGACTTAATCATATACTACTTCAGACTTTATTTCAATAACAAAGAATTATAGTTTCATGCATAACAACAGTTTTGGTGCATAGGAGCAATAACTGTCTTTACTTCAAAAGGAATTCACAGAAGACATGGTCTGTTCAGAAAGAAGAACCAGAATTATGGTGTCCCAAGATACTGTAAAATCTGTCATCAAGTGGGCTGGCTAACAAGACCTGTCATCAAGGTGATGTGACATCTGAGAAGTCATCAGAATAGTTTAGGAATTTATTATAAAGACTTTAAAACACTAAATACACTTAAAACTTACTTGCACTAACTAGGAAACTGTATTTTAGCAGCAAGTATCCAAACGGTACAGACCTGAACTGAATTTAACCCAGAAATGGCTTATAAAGCATTTTTCAAGTGTGACTAATGCAAAAATAATTTGCACGATGCACAATGCACAGTGAAATCAAATGTATAATACTCTTAACAGTGTATTGTTATGGCAATGATTGTAGGAATCTAAACAATGTCCATTATCCAGACATTGCTTTCAAGAACTGCATTAAATTCTGAGCGGAAATCTGGGAAATTCTCATAGCTTTCGGCTACAAGCAGAATCTTGCCACATGTGTGCCCAACTGGTCTCCTTGTGAAATCTGTCATTTCTTTAAACTCCACATAGATGCTGTCTGCAACAATGAGATCAGATCCAGTGCAGAACCGCAAAAACTTCTGAAGTTTGTTTTCATCTAGCTCTCTAATGAATCTTTTGAGATGATTTGCCACTTCCTTTTGTTTGGGAGTTAAATCAGCTGCAAATTTCAGCAGCTGACAGACCTTTTTTGAGGTTGGCTGCAAGTCAGAGAACAACTTTTTCAGTGCCTCTGGACTAAGGGAGAGATGATTATGGGTGATCTCCCTCCAGCAGTCAATGACAAACATGGGTTTCTGGATCAGCTCTTTGTGTGCTATTTCATCAAGTATTGTAGAAAGAGTCTCAGCTGTGATTCTTCTTCTGCAGCCATAGCTGTCAAGAACTTCCACAAGGTCATCAGAGTCAACTGTGGAGAAATCACTCATCACTTGCTTCAAAACCTCACGTTCCTGGCTGCTAACAAACTGGAGAAAATGTTCTTTAATATTACTATACACGCTGTTGAAAAGAACCTGTTCAAGGAAGGGGAGTGCAAGTTTGTTAGGCAAATACTGACAATTCTGGTAACCCATCAATAGGATTCTACTAATTGCCTTCCATGTTTCAGCAGGAAAATCATGGCGAATGAAGGGCACTTTAACCGTTGTACCCAGTGTGCAACGCTCATAGAATTCATGCCAGAAGCAGCTGAGGACATCTCTTAATACTCCAGATCCGCTGCCTGCTTCTTCTTGGTTGTCTGGAAGTATGCGTTTCACATTTAATGCTTTGTTCAAAATCTCAGGATCAGAGAAAGCAGTAATCATATCATGTAAAGTGTTAGCATGATGTACAGTGATCGTTATCACATCCTCTGGATGAGGTGGACTTGCAGGCACAAGAAGACCCTCATAGATCAGTGTGTCCTCTAGGTCTTCTTCAGCATCATAAAGGGGGGCAAATGCAATTTCAGAATCAATAGACACTTCTAAACCAGGCTGGACTCCATCAAAATCTCCCATGACATCTCCCACTTGTAAATCTGCTGTACTAATATCACTGGCACTGTGTGCTGAGACAAAGATCACTTCAGATGTCCCGCTGGCATCATCTTCAAGTCCTTTTGGCGTGGTTGCAATGTAAAAACATAACATGGTCAGCTTTGCGGTCTCATACATAGTGCCAATAGACTGGCAAGTTTCATCAGAAAGGTAGTTCTGTTTAAAGTCCCACACCTCAAACTCAAAGTCTGATTCAGAACCTTTAGGAGATACTCCATCAGGAAAGAAAAGCTTCTTTCCTTCTTGAAGGATGTCTTTTAATCCAGCTTCATTTGCCATTGGAATTTTTCTGGTGCCACCTCCTTGTTTTGCCCTTACTTGCTTAGCTATTTTACCGTCTTTGTGAATCCATCCTATCTCTATATTTCGTGTTGTTTTCAGCTTTTTTGTCTGTGTTGGTCTTGTGTGGGGTTCTGATATGTTTTCCTTGCTGCTTTCCTTTCTGAGTTTCATTTTATCACAAAGTTTTTCCAAAAGCCCCTCTTTTCGTTTTGAAAGAGGTTTTGTAGTTTTGCAGAAATTGAAGAGAGCAATTCGGTCTCCATAGGAAGGGATATAATTTGCCAGAGTTGCATCATCCATCAGCCCAATGACATCACTGTCAATCTGCATGGAAGAAGGAAGAAAAGACTAATTTGCTGGAGAGCTTTCTATGCAGGTATCAGTACAATAATGAAACAACAGAAAAAATAAAGGTATTAATAAAACATGCATTTTATTTATACAAATGTATATTTTTCCCCCCCAATAACCAGGACATCTGCCTCTCCGGCTTCAAAAAGAAAGGGTATGGGAGTGATAAAACCCACTCAATGTGAGATTTCACACTAAGTAACAGGTTCCAATAGATTACCTGAAGAAGTCTGGTCACTCAAAATATATGATTACAATCTGTGCTGCTTTTCAGTTCTCTCCAACTTTGTGTTTGCGATTCCAAAATTATAAATATTTTGCACAGCAGCTCTCTGAAAGTATCTCATGCATCTAAAATTTTTGGGTGAATAAAAAGTGTACCTGCTACCTAGCTGTCAAAAATAATTACTAGATTATATTACCAACAGCACCCTGCTGTTCTAATCCCCTTGAGAGTTTAGCAATGTTGCAATCCCCAGTCTATGGTTAGGGATCGACAGAAAGGAAAGGGTTAGGGCAGGGTTATTCAAATCACGGTTCTCGAGGTCCGAGCACTGCTGGTTTTCCAGCCTCCCTTTACCTGTCAGTCAGGTGTGACGCCTCTGACCAATCAGAATCAGTAATTATTAAACTAACTACCTGGGAGAACTGAAAACAAGGTCTGGATTTGGAATCGAGGTCTAGATTTGAAGAACCCTGCGTTAGGGAATGACAAGACAAACGGGAACGGAAAAAGGGAACACGAGACACAACGTGATCTTTTTTTATAGTTTTTTTTTATATTTTATTCACAGACATTTCACAACCGTAGGTGCAACAGACTTCAGGAGTGACAGTGGCCAAAATAAACAAAATACATCTAATGAACACAATCCAAACTAAGCTAAACCTAAGTGTAACAAAAACAAGTGGAAACGAAACAACAATACTAAACCTATCTCCTTAACCAAGCGTACAATAAATCACCACGTCTCGCAAAACAAAAAAGGCAGTCATTTCTTACGCACCAAGTTACAAACACACACAGCAAACACACAATCTAAAGCGACAGTGTCCGAAGGGGCGAGCAAAAGAATAGTCAAACCAGAAAAGCAATCAAACCAAAAGCGAAAGTACAAAACGGAAAATCAGAAACCAATAACCAAAACTGTCATACACCAAGTCCAAAACCAATAAAACAAGCCACAATAATCAAAAACAATGAGCAGAGCTCTCGAGGTTCCGACTTCCGAGCTGTGGCCTTCTCTTTGCCCAAGCAGGAAACAGAAAGCAGCGCCGGAGACGGGAGGGGCGTGGCCAGGTCCGAGAGGGCGGAGCCGAAGGGAGCAACCGGCGAATGGCGACGAGGGCAGGAAGTCCGGAGAACCTGTAGGCATCCTCTCGAAACTTACGGCACGTACCTTCCTTATGGCACGTACCAGCAAAATATTCTTAAAGTGATGAACAGATGAACAATACGAGGCTAATAACTTAACCGCGATGACATGTGGTTCCTAGTTGTTTTCCCACTTCAAATATGCTTCTGTTTTGTCCTGTTGTAAATCATTTGTTTGTTAAACAATGGCTCACCTTCTATTAAGTGTAATATTAACAGACACCTTTTTCTTATTAGCTGTAAAACATAGAAACACACTATTAAGTGGAGGCTATACACAACAAATCTTCCATAATGAGTAGAAATATAAATACATAGCAATACCACTTGACATGATGTTTTTATATTTTATTTGCTGCCACGTACGCTTTCCACTACTATTGCATTTGAAATCGGATCAGTTAAGTTATTGTTAACATTAGGTTTACATTACATTATCACAGTAATGGAACTTTAGGGAGCATTACGTTACCTAACAACAAATAATAGGTGACTTCTGAATTGTGTCGCATCTGTGAGCTTCTGTATTTATTAACAGTTTTTAATTTTTATTTCAGAAAACACGTCATAGTCTAGTACTCGGTCGTGAGATATTTTAGACCACGTGAATTACCATGAAAATGTACTTATGCATTTACTCGGTCGGCAATACGTTGCCAACAAGCCTGCCTGCTTTTGCTGGCTGCAGTGTTATTAGACTTTCTTTGTGGCGTTGATATAAGCTCCTCATATCCCTGTATAGTTAGCATGCAGTCTTCCTCCGTGAAACATGGACATCGCGCCATGAGTCAAACGGTGATTTGCGCTGCTGAACGTTCTCCATTTATGCAAACGCGCACAAACTCCAGTGCAGTTAACACCGATGTAACAAATCAACTTCTTAACTGGCGTCGTAGTACCGATTGAGACAACCCGATCTTGTCAACCCAGCGTTCGCAAATTAACTCCAGGCTAAATCTGATTTCGTAGTACAGGCCACGGGTGTAGATCGAGGAGTAGCATCAGGGACAGCTAGCTAGCGGCACAGAATATAGCGACACACATCGCAGCGGTAGCTGCTGCATCGACATTCACGTCATTCATTCATGTTCTTTAGCTGAAAAAGGTTCCGTAGGTGTCCCAAGATCACTGCTAATGAGCGTGTTCATGCACAACACTAAAACCGACTAATTAGCAGTAGGCTTAATGGTAGTACCTGCACTTATCCTTCATATCGGTATTTGCTATTCTATGTTTTCAACAAATGCAAGCCACTAAACCATCACATATCTGGTTTTCACTCACCTTTTGCTCTTCCATTATTGACATAGCTTCTTCCGAAACCCCTCGAGCCCGCAAAAACTCACTTAATGCCGACATTTTCGATCAGCGTGTGGTTCCTCTGCTGCATAAAAAAACCGCTCTCTCACTGAAGTTGGTGCCTTAAGGTACCCATATTTCTGACTTTAATCTCAGAATTCTGAGAAAAAAGTCAGAATTCTGAGAAAAAAGTCAGAATTCTGAGAAAAAAGTCAGAATTCAAATAATATTTTCATGGTGGCCCTAATCCTCTTCCGTATATAACAGATACGTATTTTAACTTTTTTCTTAAAAATAAGGGGGGAACATGCACACACTGACTAATCGGAACAAAAGTCAAAATATGTTGTGGTCACGTAGGTGGAAAGTACCGAGAAGGGGGGCAGCACCCCAGAAGGCCAATAAGAGGGACAGACCTGACACCGAGGGTTTGAGCATCTTCTTGTACATGCTGATTGTATGTCGGATGTTTGCTCCCAGATTGCAATCTGTTAGAGAATAAACTGGTGACATGCAACTACTCCTCGACTGTGCTGTGAATCTCTTCTCATCAACGGACCCGGCGGAGTTTGACTCCAACAGTACACACGGGGAAATGAGTCACCTGGCACGTCTCTCAGCGGAAACAAAGGGTAAAGCTTCAGTCTCAGCCTTGCAATCGCTGTGATAGCATCGTGCATGTTTACGCTAGCTGAATACATATATTTAGACAGTAAAAATACATTTAGACAATGATAGACAGTAACAGTAATTATATAATAATTCGAGCAGCGGGCGGAGCGGCGGGCAGAGCGGCGGCAGCGGGCGTAGCCGCGGGCAGGACGAGCGGGTCAGGCTGGACAGGCGGTGCCGCGGGCAGAGCGGCGGCAGCTGCAGGGACCGCAGGCAGGACAAGCGGGTCCGGCTGGACAGGCGGTGCCGCGGGCAGTGCGGCGGCAGCAGCAGCAGCCGGTGCTGCTGGCAAGTCCGGAGCAGGCAGTTCCGGAGCAGGCAAGCCTGGGACTGCTCCTGGGCTTTAGGGACCTGGGGAATGCCGTCTCTCACGGCGCTTATTCCTCCGTGCCCCAGACGCTCCGGCCGATAAAAGTAAGCCTCCAACGCAGGCGGCTTCTCCGGGCGGAAGCTGGTCAGGCGGGCAGCGGCGGTGTCGTCCCAGGCGGGCGGTGAGCTCTCATGCCCCCTGGTTAACTCCCAGGCAGAGAGCAGAGAGCAGGCTTCCAGGAGAAGCGTCGGGGCGGCTTCCTCTCCTTTTCCCCTTCGCCTCTTCTTTTTACGCCGACCGGGACCGGTAGGTGGGGGCGGGGCTACCTCCGTGCCGGAGAGAGGCAGGATCCGCTTCTCCTTTACGCGGCTGACGAGCTGCTGTAGGAGGGAGCGCACTTCCGCTATTGCGTGCTCCTCCGTCCGTGGGGTAACCGCCTGGAGGAGATCCCAGCTCTCCTCAGCTAGGGCGAACAAGCCGGGATCCCCCCGGATCTCCGGTAGCTCGCGCCAATACGCTACCTCATGCAGCAGGACGAGCCACAGGTCCTCGCCCTGCTGCGGTGCATCTTTCGGGAGACTTGTCATTCTGTCACGTTCGCGGGGCAGGCGATCCGGGAAGCAGGGAAAAGGAGCCAGGAAATCGTGTAAACGGGTTTATTCGGGTAGAATCCACAATACGGGGGAGAACGAAGGGTAACATCAATGACAAGTCTGGGGAAGACTGACTCAGACGAGGACTAAATACAAAAGACAAGCTAAGGGTAACGAGCAACAAGTGGGAACAATCAGGCAGAAACAGGAGGTAACGAGGTGGGCGTGGCACACATTAGGATCGGACGGAGCGGGGCGTGACAGATTTAGGACAATTAATAAATTATTTATTATACAGTATTGTACTCTGTGGAATGAAAGGGATTTTGACATCAAAAGACGATATACTGTAACACTGAAAAAATATCAAGTATCAAAGGATTCTGCTACAGGGCCCCTATATTGTGAAATGGTTTACCAGCCTATGTCCGGGATGCCGATTAGGTCTCAGTTTCATTCTTGACTGAAGACCTATTACTTCAGTTTAGCTTACCCACAACCTAACACATAACACACTGGAACTACAGCTGCTGGTGCTGCTGTACATGTCATTTCTATCTACTATGCTTGTCCGTTTATGTGTCAACGCATGTTCTGACCATCCATGCTCTCTGCCTTCCCACATGTCCGGGTGATGCCCGGGGTGGGCACCATCTGAGCTGGAGTCCTGGTTCAGTCCCATGAAGGGGTGACATCACAAATGGGCCATACAAACTATATCATCATGAGTGCTCTCTAATAATGTTGCGATGTACCACAGCACATCTGTGTAAAGCACCTTATTTGGGATGACTCTATTGTGAAATGAGCTATATAAAAGGAAATTGAATTGAAATTAATTGAATTGAATATACCGATTAGGGTAACGTAAAAAAAAATATAGAGAGGAGAACAGGGTTGGTAGCCGCACTTACTTTCATATGAATAATAGCGGCCCACTGATATGTTACATATGGATTAAATGCGGAGGACACATCTTGTTGTGCGCTGTGATGTGTCAACAATGACAATTATTCACCTTCACTTCATCTGAGGATGACTCTGTCTCCTGCCCCTTCCTTCTCTTTGTTGATGCCTTTGATGTTTTTTTTTTTCATCTTGAGACAAGGATTTTTTCATCCTCTGCTGAGCGGCTGCCTTTTCTTCGGCAATCCTCTCCTTCCCTGGGTTGTCTGTCAGGATGGAGCTTGTTGGGCATTTGCTTTTTCGGGACATCTTCTTGAGTTCAGCTTTTGTCAGTAGTTTTAGCCAAATGGTAGTAGCTGTGTTGCATCCAGAGGTAGTGGATGGATCTGAAAGAAGAGGCACAATGGTTTTGGCATGTGCTTGGGGGGTTGAGGTGCCCTGTTCTGTGTATCATTTAGCACCACCATCTGCAGGAGGAAGGATATGCAGCTGGGCTGGGGTCAGTTTTGGATGGTTAGTCACACAGGCAGGTGCAGTTGGTGACTTAGAGAAGACCTGCCTCTTGAGGGGACATTATATATATATATATACACACACACACAAAACACTTATATGGAAGCCTGACTGAATGTTCACCAGCTTTACAGAAAGAGGGAATGCTGCAGCTACAATTTTTGGTATTTTGTAAATGGTCATAGTTTTTCCTGGATTACCCGGGAGATGCTGACAGGTGTTTACATGCTTCTTCAATGGACCAAAGACAGCCAGATCCAGGGGCCACAGGTAGTGGGAGTAATGGGGGGAATGATAGCATCACAATTTCTTTGGCTCATCAACCAACAGGTGGGAACTGAGCTTGTCAGGGAACCGGAGACATGGTCCTTCTTTGCTGCACCTTTCTTTGTGTGTGTCACAAAATGTTTCAGGAAGTTCCTGCCCCTCCTGCACTTCCTGTTGGGGCAGAAATTAGAAAATGGTCATGAAAATTGACCTGGGAGAAAATACAGAAGGGAGGAATACTGTTCATGGTGGCAGAGAGAGCACAGGAGAGGGTGACCAGGGCTCCCCCTGCTTGTAGCCTCTCCTGGCCACCACCTTTGTGAGCAGTGGTAATACTATAGTTTCATCCATATTTCAAATGGACTGGGGCTCAAACCGGGGTCTTGCCATCACTTCCTCCCAGCTGCACTGGCATGTGCAAGGCTAGTGGCTTCCGGGGTCCTGATTGAGAGTGATGGGTGGCTCTTCAGAAGGCCAGAGAACCAGTCTGCCCCTGCTATCTTCTTCTGTGACCAGTTTGTGCAGACAGGGACATCATTGTGGACTGCATAAAGGTATGCAAGTTTGCGGACTTCAAGAGGAGAGAGGGTAAAATAAATGTCGGAGGCAGTGATGATGTATTCCACCAGCTGACTTTCCTGCTCCTCACTGAACACCAAATGATTTTTAATATACCCTACTGGCAGGGATGGGCAAAATCCTTCTCCAGCAGCCTCTAATTGACTTATTTTATTGTAATATCTTGCTAGTGTTCAATAGTTAATCTGAAAGTCTTTAGTATATCTTCTGACTGATTTGTTGTGTAGCTTCACCTATCTGACCGTCCCAAGCATTTTATCTGGAGTATTTTATCTTGTTTGTCTTCCTGACAAAGTTACTATATATTTATATAGGAGATCTAAAAAGAAAGATTCAAGATTCTTTATTCGTCACATGTAGTTATAGCTGGTATAACATACAGTGAAATGTGTTTCCCTGGCTGGAAAAAGTACTCTCCGACTGTGCTAGACATACCAAAAAATGAGAGGTAAGAAATAAGTACTCAACAGAGGATAAGTATAAAAATAAGAGAAAAATTATAAGTGTAAAAAACTGTAAAAAGGACTAGATGTATCACACCACACATGTATATGCCAACAAAGGGGTTGGTTGTCACAACAGCCAACCCTGAAGAGAATGTGACAAGAATCCCCAGTGAAGATCGCTTTTCAGCCGAAGAAACAGACGTGCTTGTGCGCGAAGTGAAAAGGTATGAATAAGTCATCTACGGGAGCAACTCTGTTCCACCTAAGCTTTTCGGGGTGAAGCAGGCATGGGATGAGGTAGCAGCGACTGTGTCCCCATTTTCTGGCATCACCAGATCATCTGCACAGTGCCAAAAGAGGTATAGTGATGTCAGAAGATGGAGAAAACAGATGCTCACTGCTGAACGAGAGCAGCAGCTGGGAACAGGGACTTAATTATGCTTGTGTGTTTTTTATTTTAATTTTGGGTTTGCACAACAAAGAGTTTTTAAGGTGTTTTTAAATGTTGATTTCAAAGGCAATAGGGCTGTTATATTCTCCATCTCACAATTTAGATTCCTTGGCAGGCTATAGACGATTCAGCTATTCTGCCAGCTGATCCCTCCTCCTCCTGCTTGGTGTACACTCCTTTGCTGGCATCGGTGCATGCAATTCAGCATCATGCCTTCTAACGTCTTCTAATGTGTCCTCATTTATGTTCAACAGACATCCATCACACCTGGCAATGATACGCAACATACAACATGCCACAAAGAATGCTGCGCCCCTTGAGGGCTGTATTTTAATGTTCCACCTGACTTATCTAAATATCTGAAACACATTTTCAGCATCCAA